CACATGGGTTTTACTAGAAGCATAATACCTCTCTGTTCCTCCAAGAAAAACACCCAGGTAATGTTTACGTTGCAGAGTGGGTGCTCTATCCAAGAAGCAGATGCATTTCAGTGACAGCTGAGTAATCCCCATGGCATACACTGCACACAAAATAGTGCCCAGTCCTGCTCTCATTGACTTCCATGAGTGTTTTGATAGCAAATTATGTAGTATCAGTCCGAATTGGTAAAGAAATTGAGAGTCCTTCGGAAGGGTGAGTGCTAGCTAAGCCTAATATAAGGACTCTGTGCAGAAGACAGTAGAAGATGTAAGTTGGTCATTAATTCTACCTATGTAAATTAACTGGGAGCAGCTTTTTAAAATACTTCCTGTAACATGTTTTCCACACAAAGAGCCTTTTTCTTGTTTGCTTCTTTCTTCCTGTGGACAGTCCCCAATGATGACTTTTACAGCTCTTTTGGAAGCTGCTCATTGTTCTGTTGAGACATAATTAAAGTTCACTTCCATGCAAAATTAGTGTATTGTATGTATTTCATTTTTATGGTAATTGCAAGGGTTGTGACTATCTACATCCTACTCCACACACCCTAATTCCTGGCTACTCCACCCCCCGACCCCATCCTCCCTGTCACCACTCCCTGAAGGAAACAGCTACTCATTCTGCCCTGGATCAACTTGCAATCTACTCAAGTGATGCATTTCCCCTTTGACCTGTGGACAGTAATATTAGTTTGTCGTGCAAACAACTTTCATTGGGAGAAAGGTATAATAGGGAAGCCCAGGAAAGAAAGAAATGCATCACGTCATCCATGCATTGTCATCCATCCCCAAACTAGATAGTATTATAATGATTTTCCAATCTTTGGGCCTAATACACAGCTTATACCACTCCTCAGGGCTTTTATAGCTTGATTTTATCTCATCAGGAAGTTGAAAGTCCTGTTGGAGTCCTCGCCTGAATAATAACATAAGCATCTCTACAGACTTTACCTGAAATGCTAACCATAAAAGTCAACTAAAACAGAACTACAACGTTTCGTCTCTCCATTTTTTTATAGCTTCATAGTTCCTAGAAAGTACTCTAAAGAGTTTTGCTGATTTATATTTTTTCCACCGTAGAATGCAATTCAGTTTCAGCCAGAGAGCCCTACTGATTATATTTTCACAACTATTATTAGCAAATTAAAGACAACATGGGTTCCCACAGGAAAGTGCCAAGTTTAGTTGACTTGGATCTGCCTGGAATATTGTTGCCAGAGTTTAAGTCACTGATAAATTAATAGAAGGAATTAAGCAAATATAATTACATCATTACAAAGGACCACATTTTAGGATTTAGTTCAGAGAGATGAGCCCCAGAGTGGACGTGGTTCTACGCTAGAGCACAGGACATGAACTCTACTCTACTCTGTACACTTCACATCTGGCTCCTAACCTCAGCAGAACAAAACTACCACAGATTTGGAGCGAACACAATGTCTCTGGCCCATTGTTAGTACAGAGTCAAACTGATTCTGATCTGACTAAAATATACAGTTTAGATCTAGCATCCTGTTTAAATTAGTGTTGCTGCAATCCCTCTGTGTAGAGGGACATAACAGTCAACCCAATTTTTCATACTCGTTGATTAAAGCCCCATTTATTGGGTCTGCAGCACAGATTATAATCCACAGTGCTTCCAGAAATGATCTGGCCCATCTTTTGCCAAGTCTATATTTTATGTAACTGATAACTGAAGTGTTGCTTTTGCATTTTATTTTACTGTGTTCTCTTACAGGGTCCCACAGGGCTGTTTCCTGGCCCTCAAGCTTGAATTGGCTTCTTTTGCATAAACCAGCATGAGGAATGAATTATCATTGCAACACTACACCAATATCTCTGAGCTTTACTTGGATTTATCAAGAGAGTGATCCCCATGGCCCAGGACTGCACTCTTGTCCAGTAGATGTGCAGATATAGCTATTATCACACAGGCGGTATTGATAGAAGTACTGTTGCTTCCTATCTTTAAAAACTAAAAGGATCGCCATTCTGGGTCAGACCTATGCTCCATCTATGTCAGGGTCTAACACAGGTCAGCATCAGATCTTTCAGAAGATGATGCAAGAAATCCCTTCTCTGGAACAATCTCCCACCCTCCCAGGATGACTTCATCTTAATCCCTTAGATTGAGTGACAAGTTTAAACCCCGAATCCTGAAGTTTTATCGTCATTCAAAATTTTTCCTTTAGCCTTAAGTCTGGCAATTCATGTTACCCATATAAATGTCCAGTCTCTCTATAAATCTCACAAAATTCTTGGCTTCATCAACATCCTGTGGCACACATTTTCACAATGTTCAACAATGTGCTCAAGAATTTCTTCACAGGCTGCGGGGGATAGACCGGATACACTAAAAGGTTTCTTCCCAAACCGCACAGTGAAAACTTTCATTGGCAAACTGGTAAAGGTTTGGCTTATCTGAGTCCAAGGCATTTTACGTAGATGACAATCCCTCCGATGTAGAGACAGTGGATGTATTACTTTAGATGTAGTTACACTTTTCAGCACTGCTCTGCATTTGTAATGATCTCAGCCTATTCCATCTCTAGGTTTTGAATGAGAGCACATCAGAGCTAAAAGCACATCACTCTGTCATCTGAAACAAGAAGCACATCTAGTAACCTGAACCGGCAGCAGGCTCTCATCCTCCCATTGCTGGAGGGGGACACCACACTTGCCTATGATTATCAAATTATCCGTGCCATTTTCCCCCCTCACACAGTAGACATTATCAGTAGAAAGTTAGAGATGGGTGAAGGGGAGCTGTAAACAACAGGAACTGACCTGAAAACAATGGGAATTGACCTGAAATCTTGCCCACAAGTCAAAACAAATATCGTTGACTTTCTAACGCAGTTCTAGTATCTCTTGCTCCACTGCACTTCTTGTTGCGACTGTGACTGTATTCAGTCCTGGTGTCCACACGTCAAGAAGTGCTCTGAAAAACTGGGGAGGTTTCCAAAAAAAAAGAAAAGGAACAATTAGTGAATTGGAATAACATGACCTATAATGAGCAGGTCAAGAGTTTCAATCTATTTAGCTTATAAAAGAGAAGGCTGAGAAGTGAGGTACTCAGTGCCTACAAAATAGCTACATGGGGAACCGTATGGACAACAGAAATCAGTAATAAAGGTTTTTTTATCTAGTAAAGGCCTAATAAGACCCAATGGCTGGAAACTGTAATTATAAAAAATTCAGACTACAAGTAAGGCATGGACTTTTTAACAGTGAAGATAATTAACCATTTGCCCATTTTACGAAAGGTTGTAGTGAATTCTCTACCGCTTGAAATGTTAAAGTTATGCTTGAATGCTTTGTTTTGTTTTGTCTTTTTCTTGAAAATGTATTGTAGTACAATTTATGGTCCGTTCCACAGGAGGTCAGACTACATGGTCACCGTGGTCACTTTGGTGTTAAAATCTATTAATCCATATTTATGTTTAGGCCCAGAAATGCAAACACAGGGTGCTTGTACACGTGACAGGGGTCTACTCCTTAGGGCTTTATTTTGTGCCCTTTAAATTGAAATGGTGAGTTTTTATCTGAAAACCACCATTTCCGTTTTTCCATCTTGTTATGGTGAGGGTCCTGATCCCTTTTTTGTTTTTGGTTTTGGTTTTTTTTTGGAGCTGGAGCCTGCCCACAGTCAGGGGGTGAGCTGCTGGTGAGCGAAGTGGCCCCTGATCTGCAGGGACTCCCAGTCTTTTCCTCCATGGCAGGGCCACCTAGGCAGGCTGCTAGTGGGCCAGGTGCTATCCTAGCTGAGAGGCAGCACCCGGCCCAATCCACCTGTGGGCTTGGGGAACAGTTTGATAGGGCTGGGTGCTGCCTCCAAGCTGGGGCAACACCTGGCCCACTAGCAGCCCACTCAGGCAGCCCCGGGGGGCACCACCCCGTGGAGGGCAGGACCAGGGACCTCTGCACATTCAGGGCCATTTGGCCTGCCAGCAGCCTTCCCAAGCACAGGAAAGGTGGGCAGGCTCTGCCAAAAAAACCCACCAAAATTAGAAACCTAGACAAATTAGAGGATTGGGCCAAAAGGAATCTCATGAAATTCCACAAGTGCAAGCGCAAAGTGCTGAATATGAGCCAGCAGTGTGCCCTTGTTGCAAAGAAGGCTAATGGCATACTGGGCTGCATTAGTAGGTGTGTTGTGAGCAGGTCAAGGGAAGTGATTATTCCCCTCTATTCAGCACTGGTGAGGCCACATCTAGAATACTGTGTCGAGTTTTGGACCACCCACTACAGAAAGGATGTAGACAGAGTCCAGTGGAGGGGAACAAAATGATGAGGGGACTGGGGAACATGATTTATTAGGAAAGACTGAGGGAACTGGGCTTATTTAGTCTAGAGAAGAGGAGACTGGGAGGGGACTTAATAGCAGCTTTCAACTACCTGTGGTGGGGTTTGAAAGAGGATGACTCTGGACTGTTCTCAGTGGTGGCAGATGACAGAACAAGGAGCAATGGTTTCAAGTTGCAGCAAGGGAAGTTTAGGTTA